TTCTGGTCCTGGAAAGGGCAGCCCAGAGGCAAACAGAGCACCACTTCCACCACACTTCTTGCTCCTTCCATTGGGGTCCCTCCCCTGAGCCCACCCCCTTGGAATGCAAAGAGATCATATGTTTTCTTCCCTTCCCATCATCCTCTCCCCCAAACTCTCTCCACAACCCACAAGAAGCAACCCAAAGAACTGGGGGGGAGGGCAGAATAGTTTTGGCACAGAATGGCAGGGAGGGGACGGCTCCTTCTACCCAGCCAGGGTCCCCTCTTTGCTCAGGGAGGATGCAGGCAGGCCAGGTGCCCTCCGTGGCACACCAGGAAGCCCACGAACACCTGAGTGCCAGGAAGGGGGAGCATGAGGGGGCCTCCCGCAGGAGGAGGGAAGGCAGATCCTTCTCTACGATGGCTGACACACACGCGGGTGGCCTCAGCGTCCCAACCCCTGCCCCCTCCACGGAGTGACTGTGGGATGGACTTTCTTCGTGCAGGGAGGGCAGAAGAAGACCTCAATGATGTCCCCCATGACCACGGCCTTCGGTGTCTCCCCTCGCCCTCACCATCCACGCATCGCCTGCGAGGGGAAGAACAGAAAGCTGGAAGGCTCAGGGCAACGTTTTGCAGACAGCCCTTCCTACGTGTGGACAGGTGAAGCAGAATAATTACGAAAAGGACGTCTCCCGGTTACATGTGATCTCAGGGTTCAGGTTGCTTGGCAGGTAGGAAAACACTTAAACCTCCAAAGAGGGGCCTCTGTGTGTGCACCCACCTACACCCGTACATGTCTGCGGGTTTGCTTTTCCCAATTTGCCCATTTAGCAAGTCAGGAAAAGCACTGCTGGCCTGTGTTACCGGGGGAAAGGGAAGGCCAACTGAGAGGCGGTGTGCACGTTGCTGAAATCCTTCCTCATACTCAAATGTAAGCCCCCCCCCTTTCCGAAACACTGGCAAACAAGCACAGGACGCGCCGGCTTGCCAGTTCCGCTCAGCGACTGGGTGTTCCCACGCCCAGGGAAACATCAATGTGCTTCCAGTCTCCTCCGTAGCAGACTGGCAGCGAAAGCCAAACAGGAATTAATCTCCAGTTAATCTGAACGAAAATTAGCAGGAGGACAGGCTGTGGATCTCCCTCGGGGACAGGAAGAGGGGGGAGGAGGCGAGCCACCCCTCCGCCAGCTGGCATCTCGTCCTCTGCCTGGCAACGCGGGGGCCACCCTCCTGCAGAAAAGTGACAGACAGACAGACCGAGAGACAAGACGCGCGTGTGCCCTTTTCCCAGCCAGCCAAGTTCCCAGACTCCAAAGGCATCACCGCCTTTTTCATCTCTTATTTTTTTAATCGTCCTTTGCGAGCAGCGGGAGCTGCCAGAGGGAGGGGGAGGGCCCGACGCCCCAGGTGATAATCCCGCTTGGTAGCGCAGATGCACTCACCCGCCCACACACGCACACATGCTCTTAATGCAGAGTTCGGAGGCTGGCAGGTGGAGGCCAGGCAGGAAAGGAGCAGAACCCAACCTCCAGCCTCGTTTGCCTCCCCAGAGCGGCTGGTGCTCAGGACTCTGGAGCTGGCCCCATAGGATTGGGATGTTCCAGCTCTCCTGGGGCCTTCCTCCTCCTCCTCCTCCTCTTCCTCCCCAGAACCCAGAAACCTTTCCAGTGCTCATCCCCTCCTCCAACACTTTTCTACCTTTGTCTCTTTCCTTGATGATAAAAGGAAGAGAGATAGATGGGATGAGTGAGAGAAAACCCTGGACCCTTCAGCCCACATCACGGCTTGGGGGAGGGGGTGTCAGTCCGGGAAATGCCCCAGCCACTCGCTCCTCCTCTTTGAGGAAAGCCCGTTAGTATTCAAGAGACACTGACGGACTTGACGGCTAATTAACAACAGCACGAATCGTTAAGAACAGACCCACCTGTCCTTCCGCTTATGTTTCCCAAACCTTCCAACACAGCCAACCTCCTGGGCCCCGGGGGGGGGGGTCAGCACCAACAAGGCCTGATCCTGCCTCACCAGTGGCTGGAGTGGTGGTCCTGAGCACCAGGAAGGGAAGGAAGCCTGGCATGGCAAGTGAGCGGGAGATGGTGGGGTGGGAGAGGCTCCTGGTGGAGAAGTCGTGGTCGGCTCTGGGAGGAAAAGGGAGAGGGGGTCTCCTGTCCCCCCCAACACACACACACACCCCTCAGCAAGGGCTGTAGAGTTGCATGCCCAGCAAAAAGGGCACTGTCTTAGCAGGGCCAGCCTGGAGGGTGGGCATTTTGAGGGGCAGGGCCATGGACCCGATGGGGGGGGCGGTGGCTGCAGCCTGGCCAGTCGCTCCAACCTTCCCACTGATTACCCTTAGACTCAGGGGACCCAAAGGGGAGACGCTCGGAGCGGCCATAAAGCCAACCGGTGCCACCTGCCCTGTCATTGGAGGGGTCCACCCCTCGTGGCCAGACTCTGCGCCACCACCACGACTGCCACCACAGCATGATTTGAAGGAAACCAACAAAAAAGGGGGGCCTTCCCTAAACATCTGGAACGGCCCCCAAATGATGGGTTGGTGGAGGGACGGGCCCCCAGGGGGAAGGAGGTCTGTGGGACACCCATCAGGATCCTGCTTCATCCTAGGAGACCTTCAAGGATGTTGTTGCCTGCCATCATTCAACGGGGGCCCCCACCCCACTCCCTTCCTCCCCCCACCCCACCCACGTCAGCCACTCACCAGGCCTGTGGCTTCTTCTTGACAAGGCTGCCCTGCCGTCGCCACTGGGAGTGGGGGCTCAGGTGGTAGGTCAGCTGCCGGCACAGCTTCTCCAGGGTCCCCAGAGAGTCCCCTTCCTGCAGAAGGGAAGGAAGGGTTAGTGGCAGAGCGTGCAAGGGGGCTGGCCCTGGGGGCAGGCAAGCAGGAAGAGGGAGGGAGGGAGGGGGGTCCAGGCTGAACCCCACCACCACTTCGCCATCTCTTACTGGCAGTTCTTTGGCTCCAAAGAATCCGGGTGGGGGGGGACCTCAACTCCCCCGCCTGTGATTTCCCCCTGCCAGGATGCTTTTTTTAAAAAAAGGAAAGGAACCAAAGGCAGAACATGCTGCAGAATTCACTCTCCCCCACACTCCAGAAGACGTTTGGGGTCCAGCAGCAGGGGTAACCCATGAAATGTAGGTCCTGCAGCTAGTTCAGCAACAGCCTGTCTCCCACGGCCAAGCGGGCGCTGTGAGCCGAACCAGTCCCTCCTGCTTCACTGGGACCACAGGCGGCCGGAGTAGAAGGATCGCAGGTTACAGCCTGAAAACACAGCCCTTGCTCTCTCCTCCCCACCCAGGTTCCCTCTGTCGGAGTCGTCGCTCTGGAGTGGATGGCTACGGCTGCCCAGGATTCCCGGAGGCACTCTGCTCATGCCCAGACACACTCTGGTTAGAAAGAGGCATTCCCTAGTCCAGAAACCAAATGTGCACTTTCAGAAGCCAAAGGCCACCGGGGTGCTGTGGGGTGCCCCTTTGCCTGGCTGGACTGCCCTGCGGGACTCTATGCTCCCTGACGCAGGATGAGGGAATGGTTCCTCAGCTGCCATGTAGGTAAACGGGAGGTCCATGGGGTTGAGCGCCACAGCAAAGCAATGGCCACGCAGGGTGCCGGCCAGTAGGCCTCCCACCTCACCCACCACCACGAGGGAAATCATCTAATTGCTCCATCCGGGCTGGTCCCCGACAGAAGGCCAGCATGAATTCTTCATCAAGCGGAGTGAAATATTCATGGCGACCTATTTCACATCAGGTTGCGTGGGACCGAGGCAGGTGGCCCCTGCAGGAAGCGAGCTGGCCCGTCAGGCTTTGGAGGAGGAGGAGGGAGCCGCCTCCGAAAGCCTCCGCACATCTCTCACGTGGCCCGCCCGGCCACCAAGTGGTGAGCCCACGAAGGATTCACCTGCACACCCCTTCATGTGCAGAGAAATGTGGATCTCTCTCTCTTTCTCTCAGTTTAACTGTTAAGTTTTACTGCCGGCCTTTCTCCTTTTAAGTTTCGATGTTTTGATGACGGTTGGCTGATTGCTTTCAATTGTAAGCTTGGTGTTTTTTGTGGGTTGGCTGGGTGTCATGCTTGTAAACTGTTCCAGTTGGGCTGTAAACATTTTGAAGAACTTAACAAAACTAAGTAGGTCACTTTCCTCTGCAGTGCATCCCTAACTCACCAGTAAAAAGGCATCCGACGCAGAACTCATGACAAAACATGGCCACAATCCAGAACAATCTTTCACAACAAAGTTGCATCCAGAAGATATTCAAGACAGAAGCTCAAGGGACCAAACGTCACCTATGGCTCGGCTGCTCTGGGTTGCCCCATGGTGCCTGACACTTTTGGGAGTGGGGCAGGGCAGTGGGAATTATATCTTTGGAGCAGATTCCAAGGTTTTTATTACTTTATTAAAGTGCTTATTTATATCCTGCCCTTCTGTATCCAGTCACTTGGGGTAGCTTCCGGTTTTTTAAAATTTAGTTTTGAAAAGCAGTTTAATCGAACCTCAAAACACAAATGAACCACAAGCGCGCGCGCACACGCACACACACACACTGCCCCATGAGAGTGAGCAACCCAACTTTTAGATGTTGCAAGAACATCTTATTGCAACATCTAGAACATCTTCTTGCAACATCTAGAACATACCAGTCTGGGTGGTCAATGTCCAGAGAATCCCAGTGAGCTGAAATGGAGCCAAGAGACCCTGACCCCTCCTTCCGCCCAGCCTCCATTGTGCCACCAGCCAGCCAGTCAGCAACTTCTCTAACAAAGGAGACCCCAGGAACCGCCCCCCCCCCCAAGATCTGGGATTTCTACTGGTGGGCCCATCCAACTAGCCAAGCTCCTGCCCTGTAGGAAAGGAAAGTGGCAAGCTGCCTCCATGCCAAATTGCTCCTAGAACACCCAGAGGTCTTCATTACATTTTTTTAAAACGAGGGAATTCCCCCAAGTGAATTAAAATCATCCCTAATGCCCAGCTGACTGTCTCATCTGCTCTGTCTAAGAGTCGCCCAAAAGATGGTTCCTTAGAACTGCAGAGTTGAAAGGCTCATCAAGTCCAGCCCCTGTCAAGGAGACACAGACAGGAATCGAACCTGGAATCGAATCAGGGACCTAAACCCCGGAGCTATCCAGCAGTTCCAGCTGAACTTACCTAGAAGACTCTCTCAAAGGGGACAGTGGGATTTTAATTTTTCTTGCGGCACTTCCTCTACAAATGCAGAAAAATCCCATGAAACTCCACCAGCTTTTCTCAAAGCCTTACAAGCTGCCCTTGTGCCGTGCAAAACTGTAGCTGTTTAAAGCATATCATCAGCTTGGCCAAGAGGAGGTCCAGATTCACCGAAAAGGTGAGCGATCAGAACAAGAAGCAGTATTGTGGGTTGTTGGGGTTTTTTTTTTTTAAAATCACAATCTATTTCAGTGAGAATAAGATCATTGCCTCTTACAGACTTCTGGAGTAACGTCCCCGTGCAACGGAAATTACAAGTGTTCTCTCTCTCGGGCACACACAGACACACTGGAAAGACCATGTGTGAGTTCCGAGGGATAGAGAAATATTTCCAAGGGGCTCTGGGAAGAGTGTGCGCGCGTGTGTGTGTGTGCATGGGAGCCAATGGCTACGTTCAGTTCCCTTGCAATGAAAGCAAGAGACTCTTGTGGCCACCCTGCAGACCCCCAGTTGTACAGCTGGCGTGAAAACGGGCTCCCAATGGCTTATGCCCATGAGAACCTTATTGGCCTCCTGGTTTCCACGCAGCGGGAGAAACAGTCCCACTTCTAACGAACGGAGAAATCGAAACCTTTTGGGAATGAAGAGATCTGGTTTGCATTCAATCATAGCAAACATTTTAGTGATTAATCCTGCAATTAACATCTATTTCTGTTTTGTAAAAAAACAGCCGCCCTGGGATTTGCTACAGCCAAGC